AGCTGAAGCTATTAAACAACAGAAAAGCGAGTATGTGATGATTGAAAATCCAGATGATTTGACATTTCGACCAATAGTAGGCGGACCTAACAGTGTAACCCAACGGCTTAGTCATTTTGTTGACTTAATTTTGAAGCCACTTTGTTCTTCAGTGAGGAGTTTTATAAAAGACGATTTTGATTTTCTTAAACATTTGCCAAAATCTGTTCCTCCCAATTCTAAACTTGTATCTTTTGACGTCGTCAGCTTATATACAAATATTCCACATGATTTAGGAATTGAAGCTATTACGTATTGGCTTAAGAAACATCCAGATAAGATTGATAATCGTTTTGCTCATGAATTTATTATCAAATCCTTAGAAGTTATTTTGAAAAGAAATGTCTTTTATTTTGATGGCAATCACTACCAACAAATAAAGGGAACGGCCATGGGTACAAAAATGGCACCTACCTATGCAACACTTGTGTTAGGTTATTTGGAAGAGAAACTCTACACCAATATAGAATGTAAATATGGTAAAGTGTTTTCAGAATATGTACAAAACAATTTTTTTAGATTTTTAGATGATTGTTTTATTGCATGGCCTTCTGATATGTGTATTGACAAATTAAGTGAGGAAATGAATTCTCTACATCCGGCTATACGCTACACAATGGAAATGGATGAACATGTTTTACCCTTTTTGGATGTTTTAGTTAAATTAGAAAATGATAATATTGCAACTGATTTGTATTCAAAGCCTACTGATGCTCATAATTACTTAGATTTTTATTCAAATCATACTAAACATATTAAAATTAATATACCTTTTAATCTCGCATCTAGAATTGTAACAATTGTAAGTGACCCCAATATGCTGGATGTGCGACTTAAAGAACTCATGTTTTTCCTGAAGTCGCAGCATTATCCGGACGAGATTATTCGTAGTGGTGTAAATAGAGCTATAGAGAAGGGACCTTTTACATCCCGTGTAGAAGCCAACGATGACCAAGGAATTATTCCTTTTGTATCTACATACAATCCACATAATTTTGCTATGTACCCTATTGTAAAAACCAAAATCGATGACTTGCAGAGAACTAGCGTGCGTATGAAAAATGTTTTAGCTAAACATAGAATTATCAATAGTAAAAGACAACCCAAAAATCTCAAAAGGCTATTGAGTTTTTCCAAGTTTGAAACGAATCAAGCTGAACTTATTGTGTCTAAATGTAATTCGCCCAGATGTGGAACATGTAAAATAATTATTGAAGGTTCTACTTTTGTTTTCAAAAATGGATTTAAATTCACTGTACGTTCTAGTATGAATTGTAAGTCGAAGAATGTTATATATGCTATAGTGTGTGTTAAATGTTTGGAATTTTATATTGGCCAAACTGGGCGTGAACTACGTCAAAGAATGACTCTTCACAAGCAACAAACAATCCATGATGACCTTAGATTTTTACAAGTGAACAAACATATTCATAACTGTGCTAACAATAACTTCAAAGTGTTCCCTATTTACCAAATGCATTCATCTGATGTGATAAAGAGGGAAGTTAAGGAGTCGGAGTTAATGAAACTGTTGAAACCCAGTCTGAATAGTTCACATTAAATTCAACGTGTCATGCTTTAAGCAATTGCTGTGCTTTAAATATTATTGTTCATATTTTATTGTTGCCGTAAATGAAACAATTTGTATCTCCCGTATTTTTTATTGTTGGTAAGATCATAAAGTTATGCATTTGTCTAAGTAATGTAACGTCACAATTTAGCTTGTATTGTTGTTGACGTCATGGATTTATGTGTATGCCTTCTGTGACGTCATAATGACTTTGCATTATTGATGACGTCATACTTTCTTGTGTAAACAACTATGACCTCACAATACCTGTTTTCAAAATAAACAGTCTCCTGATGAACGGGGAATCAACCCGAGAAAGGCCTAGAGACGCTATCTCTGTCTTTTGTTCTATTTTTCATATTTAATTCCAACACAAGGACTTCTCAATGTTTTCTTTATAAAGGTTTATATATAAGGACTGTTCATATATATATATGAAGGTTTATATATAGGGACTGTTCATATATATATATATAAAGGTTTATATATAGGGACTGTTCATACAATGTATATATATAAAGGTTTATAGCCCCAAGACGGACGAAAGCGCTAGCCGATTATACTAGTCTTCGTGTTTTGTTTTATTTATAAAGGTTTATTATAGAGACTGTTTATATATATATATATAAAGGTTTATATTATAAAAACAGAAAAATGATCCTTACGGACGGAGAAATATTATAAAAAGAAAAATTCTCTTCAACGAGTCTTTAGTACTTTCATCTCTTCTTGGAGAATCTTCAGACTGTTTATTTGAAGTATATGTATATCTATACAAAGGTTTATATAAATAAAACAAAGCACGAACACTAGTATAATCGGCTTATATAGAGAGACTGGTCAGACGTGGCGGACACCATCACGTGGTATGACGTTGATATTTTTAATTCGTATCACACTGCTGTAAGCTAGTAGTAGTAAATAGTTTGTTCCTATTAAGCTACAATGCATATCGCACTCCAGTACGTCTATTTGTTTATTCGAGTTCCCATTTTAACCATTTTGCTATCGACACATTTCTGCGAATAGTAGACTCGGTTATATATTGTAATAGTCATTCTTGAGAAATGGTTGACGAAAGAGTAATTAAAATAAAACCAAATATGCATGTAAATCCATGGAGTATAGACCTAGCCATAGCATATTAAACATAACCATAATATCTTTGAAAATACGCAGCAGGAAAATCATCGTTTTCCTGTTTTAATCGTAAGCAAAATTATGAATAGTATTGTTATAGTATCTAACTATACTATATATATAGTATCTAACTATATATAGTATCTAACTATACTATATATATAGTATCTAACTATACTATATATATAGTATAGTTAGATACTATATATATAGTATCTAACTATACAATATATATAGTATCTAACTATACTATATATATAACTAATCTATAGTCGAACAGCACAAGCTGATATGAAATATGAGAGAAGTTATCAAACAGTTTAAGTCAAGATAGTATCACATATGTTAATTGTGCACATGAAGCTTTGTATCATCTTTGTATACTCTGTGTTTTGTTGATATTACAACTATCTCTATCTTGTTACAGGTTGTTCGAAGCAACGTCAACACCACGTGTAAGTGTCATGGCGTCTCGGGATCGTGCACAGTCCGCACGTGCTGGCAACAACTCTCTCCATTCCACAAAATCGGCAATATTTTAAAACGGAAGTATGAACGCGCTGTGAAAGTGGAAGTAGATAATAACATATCATACGGAAAGTATGAATTACCAAAAGGCGAAATATCTAATGAAATTCGCCCTAATACGTTTTTAAGTGCGTATGGAAGCAGCATGGTCTTTATGGATGATTCACCGAGTTACTGTTCCCGGAGTAGGTACTCTCTGGGAACAACTGGAAGGGAGTGTGATAAGGACCGGAACTGTGACGCCATATGTTGTGGGCGTGGCTACAATGTGCAAACAAAGGCGTATAACCGATCATGCGCATGTCAGGTAGTTTGGTGTTGTGACTTCCACTGTAAACAGTGTCTGTTTGAAGAAGAAGTCCACTTGTGTAAATAACATGCAGAAAGAGTAAGATGAATCAAATGTCTCAAACACGTAACAAATATATTGAACAGACGGTACACATTTAAAGCCACAAACTACACGTGCTTTTTGTCAAAACTATGCATCAATACACGCTTGGCCTGATGGGTATTATTCATCGAACCTATGACATCTTCATGTGCCAATTCATCGGATGTGTAAGACAGATCGTTGAGATAAATACGAAATGATCAGAAGTGTGTGGTCCTAGGTCCCGACACAGTGTCGTCGTCTATAACCCGCTTCAATTTGAAATATCGTTTGTTATTGTTTTGTCATGTGCATTTGTTTGGCCAGAAAGAGTTGTACAAGGGTTTCTTATGCATGAATATGAACAACTGACATCCGTATGATGAATGTCAGACTACTGTAAATCCATTATTTCAAGAAAATATGAATGTTTTAATTTTTAGAATTGACCATTAGGGAGCCTTTCATACATACAGCACTGTACTGTCACGTAGTACTAGTAGTAGGACACATCCTTGTATATACTGGCTTTTGAATATATGTTTTATGTACATATGTTATGTAATTTATGAAATAATGACAACATGTACAATACTTTGTTTTGTTACTAAGCAACGAACATAAATGTGCTCATTTCTCCTACAAATAACTTATTTTAACTTTTAGTCAATATTTGGTTTTACCTTGCCTGCCTATATGCATTAGATATATTAACTATATCACAGCTAGTTAACATACATGTTGCACGTGCAGATGATTGTTCATGTTTATATAAAATGCCACTTCAAACCAACAATAAGTAATTCGTTAATCACATCAACACGCAAAGTGTATTTGATAGTGTTCTCTGTAATATAATATTTGAAGAATAACTGAAATTATGGCCCCAGTTATGACCCCAATTTCTCAGAAAAAGAAGACTGAAAAACTACTAAAATTATGTATGAACTCTATTATTTTCGTTTTGCTTCAAACTAAATATAAATATATATATATATAATACAAATCGAAATAGGAATATATTGTCTGGAGATTTAAGGCACTAAAACCATTAGAATTAAAAACATAAACAATTAATGAACGTAAAATTCAGATTAGCAAGTTTATATAGATTTTTATATAAGTCAACCTTTGTTCAGACAAAGAATAGCTTGTAAACTCTGTTGGTATAATCTATATAAGATGTCAACTAACAGAAGTAAATACCTCGCAGCATAAATTTAAGTGTTGACTGATCCGGCTGGCTCGTTAGCTTTAAATTTATTGTATTCTGGACCAACATGGGATATCTTACATAGATACATAAAAGAATAATTTTCGGTAACAGTTACCGCCATGGCTTCTGTGTTAGAGTCTTACAGTTGCGGTCTCAATGTTGTCATGGTAAATATGTTCCGAATGGAGATTTTGTCACTCGAGTCTTTCATGGTTTTATTACATCTTTGCGTATTGCAGAGTTGTCTTCTCTTGTGAGCAGGTAATGATTGTTACGTCATTGGTTTGTGTGAGACAATTACGTCGTTTTCTCAAAAATTGATGACGTTACTCTCACAAACCAATGTCGTAACAATCAATACCTGCTCACAAGAGAATATTACTCTGCATACGCAAAGACGGAATAAGACTGGGTGAAGAAATCACAAATCTGGACGTTAAACATTGGCTGTTCATAATGATATAACCAGATTCTGATGTTTTGTATTTATATCAAGTTCGATCATTCTTATTCCTCTTTCACTATAATTAGATTCTGAACTGTACACCTTCATCTTCTGGTATTCAAAATCATCATCGTCAGCTACTTAGTATGATAGGCACGTTTAAGCATTGTTGTTGAAAACAAATTCATCTTAATACAAAGTTCATGTACGGTAAGGAGACCCGGCGCTCTACTGACGAAACTTTCCGTGTTCCAATTTGTTTAGCATTTTTCTGACTTCGAGTTTTGTCCTGATTTACTCAAATAAACAGATATACAAATGTATGCCACAGAATCATAATTCTTATAATATTTTTTTTTAACAAAATCTTCTGCGCGGAGAGAACCATTACCAGTTCCTTGATTATACAATAAAACAGTGAGTGACTCCACTGCGGTACTGGGCATAATGTTGGTATTTTGAATGCTTTGCAGTAAATAAAACTGGTTATAGTTTCAGAATGTTATAACTCTTAGAATTCTGTTTGTATAGACGAAAAAAGTAATTTAACAGGAAATTTACTTATCAATGCCTATCTACAATAAATGTGGTGGTACTCTCTATAGTAAAACAAATGGCATATCACACAGCATAGATGTTATAAAGACATTTGTAACAAGTTTGAAAATAGAATCGGCTTGAAAATAACAAATGATTTTCACCTCATTATCCATTGCATCATTAATTTATTCGTTTTTGTTAACCATTATGTAATATCTGTATCGAAAATTAACAGAAGATTCATGTCAAAAACGTCTGTGATATATTCATTAATCAGCCATGCTATCATTCATTGATGTGCGTTCTATCATTGTTACAGCTGTACTTAATATCACCTCATTACGTTTTACTGTAGACTTTGGTCATTTATCTCATATAGAAGATTTATCTCCCTTTCATAATAGCCACTTTGAAATATGTTGTAACCAAGTTAAACCAGCCTGGTTGTTTTTCCTATCTATGAGACTAGATGTAACATTATGATGCAAATATAAAGCAAGTTGTCTTGCTTTGAAACACACAAAATCAAGCTATTTAATCACAAGAACAATTTTGGCCAGGATTTTAAGAACGTGCCTTATATCCTCTTCAGTGTCTTATGATTGATGTTGATCATACAACTCGATATAATTATACATTGTTGAATGTCCTGGCTACAGAACTGCATTCTCTATTTACGGATACTTAACATTGGTATTAGCAGTGCCCTATCTCTGGTTTCGTAAATATACCTATTTTGGAATTCAAAGTACGACTGTTATTATCTCCGAGTTGTTTTCTTCATGGTATGATAAGCGCTAGAACTGCGCGTTCATAAGAGGATGCAGAAAAGTTCAACCCTGCAATCAGATTTCAATTTCACTTTTTTTCTGTCCTTTGTTTTGTGTTCGGTACCGTTTCAAGCGATAAAACGTAACAGATACAAAATTAATTTCTAGCATGGTTTTATTATTGAAAACAGTTTGAACAACAATGCAGCTCTGTATCTGTTATTCATTATACCGTCTGATTAGTGACGTCATCATACGTTTGTTTGATCAACTTTTAATATTAAAATAAAATAAAAAATGAAATATACAACATTTGATATAGCGCCCTATCTAGCTAACATAAGCCACTCTAAAGCGCTATACAGTACATAGATATAAATTTAATACAGTCAATACAATTAGCATATATATTAATCAATACAATATTGAGGAATTCGCAGGAGCTGCCTTATCAGGCGCTTACTACTAGTCCTATGCCACCTGGCTAATATCTCCCTATGTGTGTATGCCTGTGTGTGCTGGGGATGTATTGTGTCGTTATATCTTGTTGCACTTAATTGCGTGTTTTACGCAAACTGGTCTCTGTGATTGTGTTGTACATTTCACTCCTACGATAGGCCCACGTACAATGTAAGCAATAATCTCGAAACTTCGAATATTTTTCCATTTTCATGAGTATTACGATACAGTGCATTCGATACATAGGTTGTCAACTCTGTAATGCTATACTATTTATTACAAACCTGATGTATATGTACTGTGTAAGACTGTTTTCTGTAAAAACCAGCGGCGTTGTTCTATTGTATGACCTCTTGACTTGTTACACTGCGTAGAAACGGGTACTATTTTACCATACGGTGAGATCCTATTTCATTTTCCTATATAAATGTATCACTTCATATTTAGTTGATAAAATATCATTTCTCTATATTGTGCTGTATGTTGTTTATCGTTCAATAATTGACATCACATACGTATATACCACACCGTCTGTATAGAGAGGAATTAAACATAAAGGAACCCCCTTAACAAGCAACAGACGTAAACAGTTGTGCAAACCCATTCTGCGATCAACTTCTGATAACGGCAGTAAAGCTGAATAGATTCTTGGGCCCGTATTCATGAAACCGTTCTCATGCTTAAGCATGGATTTTGTGCTCAAAGCAACTTTCTCTTAACCCATTTGATCATGTGGTATGGTCAAAAAGTCCTGTGCAACCATTCTAAGCATTTTTTTAAAGGCTGTTCATATATTTATTCAAATTCTTAACAAGAGATGTTTTTTTCTTAAATTTTCACCGGAACAAAAATATTGGCTTGAGCACATAACCCGAATTGGGGCATACGAACGATTTCATGAATGCAGCAGCTACGGCCATGACAACTGTGGTGGAAGAGGTAGTGTAGAGACTCACTTGGTGACTTAAGTTCTTACAACAGACAAAACACGGGTAGTGTGACAACCCACTAGTTCTTACAACAGACAAAACAGTGATAGTGTGACAACCCACTAGTTCTTACAACAGACAAAACACGGGTAGTGTGACAACCCATTAGTTCTTACAACAGATAAAACAGTGATAGTGTGACAACCCACTAGTTCTTACAACGGACAAAACATGGGTAGTGTGACAAACCACTCGTTCTTACAACAGACAAAACAGTGATAGTGTGACAACCCACTCGTTCTTACAACAGACAACTCAGTGATAGTGTGACAACCCACTCGTTCTTACAATAGACAAACCAAAGGTAGCGTGACAACTCACTAGTTCTTACAACGGACAAAACATGGGTAGTGTGACAACCCACTAGTTCTTACAACGGACAAAACATGGGTAGTATGACAACCCACTAGTTCTTACAACGGACAAAACATGGGTAGTGTGACAAACCACTCGTTCTTACAACAGACAAAACAGGGATAGTGTGACAACCCACTCGTTCTTACAACAGACAAAGCACGGGTAGTGTGACAACCCACTCGTTGTTCTAACAACAGACACAACACGGGTAGTGTGACAACCCAATAGTTCTTACAACGGACAAAACACGGGTAGTGTGACAACCGACTAGGTCTTACAACGGACAACACACGGGGATTGTGACATCCCACTCGTTCTTACAAAAGACACAACACGGGTTGTGGGACAACCCACTAGTTGTTCTAACAACAGACAACTCAGGGATAGTGTGACAACCCCATAGTTTTTACAACGGACAAAACCGGGGAAGTGTGACAACCCAATAGGTCTTACAACGGACAAAACAGTGGTAGTGTGACAACCCCCTCGTTCTTACACCAGACACAACACGGGTTGTGGGACAACCCACTAGTTGTTCTAACAACAGACAACTCAGTAATAGTGTGACAACCCAATCGTTCATACAACAGACAACTCAGGGATAGTGTGACAACCCCCTCGTTCTAACAACGGACAACACACGGGTATTGTGACAACCCATTCGTTCTTACAACAGAGAACTCAGTGATAGTGCGACAACCCACTAGTTCTTGCAACGGACAAAACAGGGGGAGTGTAACAACCCACTCTTTCTTACAACAGACACCACACGGGTATTGTGACAACCCGCTCGTTCTTACAACAAACACAACACGGGTAGTGGGACAACCCACTAGTTCTTACAATAGACAAACCACAGGTATCGTGACAACCCACTAGTTCTTACAACGGACAACACACGGGTATTGTGACATCCCACTCGTTCTTACAACAGACACAACACGGGTAGTGTGACAACCCACTAGTTCTTACAACGGACAAAACAGGGGTAGTGTGACAACCCACTCGTTCTTACAACAGACAAAACACGGGTAGTGGGACAACCCACTAGTTCTTACAACGGACCTAACATGGGTAGTGTGACAACCCGCTCGTTCTTACAACAGACAAAACACGGGTAGTGGGACAACCCACTAGTTCTTACAACGGACCTAACATGGGTAGTGTGACAACCCGCTCGTTCTTACAACAGACAAAACACGGGTAGTGGGACAACCCACTAGTTCTTACAACGGACAAAACATGGGTAATGTGACAACCCACTAGTTCTCCACTAGTTCTTACAACGGACAAAACATGGGTAATGTGACAACCCACTAGTTCTCCACTAGTTCTTACAACGGACAAAACATGGGTAGTGTAGTTCTTACAACGGACAAAACATGGGTAGTGAGACAACCCACTAGTTCTTACAACGGACAAAACACGGGCAGTGTGACAACCCACAAGTTCTTACAACGAACAAAACAGTGATAGTGTGACAAACCACTAGTTCTTACAACGGACAAAACACGGGTATTGTGACAACCCACTCGTTCTTACAACAGACAACGCAGTGATAGTGTGACAACCCACTAGTCTTACGACGGCCAACACAGGGGTAGTATTACAATCCACTAGTTCTTACAACGGACAAAACATGGGTAATGTGACAACCCACTAGTTCTCCACTAGTTCTTACAACGGACAAAACATGGGTAATGTGACAACCCACTAGTTCTCCACTAGT